AGATTAGGGTTCCCAGAAAGTGGCAGGAAAAGGCAGGCTTACCACATTTGGTGCTAAATCGTCCATTTGGCGATATTTGGAACCAAAATTGGCAATATGCCACAGACGGAGCAAAAACGCATTCTTAGTGGTTTTTCCGAACATATTCTCGAAGGTAGGTTAAAGCTATATATACCTTGCCCGCAAGAGGAGTAGAAGTATCTTGAGCAGTAGTGTAGTAGTAGTTCAGATCTTAAGTTCAGAGATTAGCTTCAGAGGATCGACCCAGTCCAGTGCTTTGCCGTCCTTACTGTTATAGCCTGAAGGCTCTATTGCTGATTGTTTCAGCGTGTTTATCGTAGTGTTTCGATGTTGCAAACGTGTCTTTGGATCTGTCCTGTGTAATCCTGCCGAATAAACTGTTTTTTGATAGCGATGAAAAGCTAGCATCTGTACTGAACATCTTGGGGATTAATATATAAAAGAATGAATGTTTTGGGAGTGTTTTTTCATTAATTAAGATTGTTGCAAAATTCTGCAATAATAATCACTGTTTGGGTGTCTGTAAAATTCTTCCTGTTTTCTGTTACAATACTTGGTAACAGTGGACTCTCTTTTCTATTAGAATATGCAGATTATAAGCAAAACCGTGACTAAATTAGGTCTAATTTTAACCGACAAACCATATTTACTGTTACAGCGTAAAAACAAGTAGATTCCGAAACAAAGAAGTTCAACTACGAGTGCTTAGCATGAATCTTAAATAGTTGAGCGTTTAAAATACAATAGACAGGCGTATATGCATGAACATAGTACTCAAAAAAATAAAATCAGCAACAATGTAATTTATGTTTAAAAGAGGAAAACTGGGTGTTCACTTTTTCGCTAAGATCATTTGTCATTTCCCTAAGACATTGCTCTAGCATAATGAAATAAGAAGTAGAACTGGTTTCAAAACAAAGATTCTTTTTTAAACCTTCTGATCTTCCATTCAAGCTTGAACAAAATCGTACGTGCTGGGAGTTGTCACATTTAATGCACTCTTTCTAAGAAAATAAATATGACTGCTTAAGACGTTCATAAGAGTGGCAGTTAAATATTTCTTTCAGATATTAAATTCAAATAGGATTATTCTCAGCAAATACGTACAGGGGAGCGTTTAGTCCAAACATTTTCCATATACGATATGATAAAGGGAATAAAATTACGGTTATGATATTTTTCAGCATCCTATAGGCATCAAAATTTGATGACGATATAGTAATTATTTTACATTTCATAATAAAGTGTATCATTTAGAAGGCATTATTTCGAAATGTTGTTTTTTTTTAATGCAGCAAGAAACTTAACATGATATTTTTATATACACTCTTCTGCAAAAAAAAATCGAAATATTAAGAAGGACTTTTACGATCGTGACGAAAATTGATATGCAAAAACATCTTGATCAAACATGCAAATGATCAAAGTTTCAAGGCAAATGAACAGGAATTGTGATCATAGCGCGCAGTTCGCGAAGTATAAAACCAGTAACAGAGGCGGAAATTTTTTTTTCCCATTGTAATCCCGTAAAGAAGCAACTAAAGTTGCTATTACGGCGATATCGAAGATCTTACAGACAACTAAACGACTTCGAACGTCGTCGCATTGCACGGTTGCGTGAAGCTGGCTGGTCATACCGAGCAATAGGCTGCCACCTGCAGCGTACAGACGCTGCTGTGCAAAGATGTTGGCAGCAATGGTTGCTACAATGAAATGCCGACGAAATGAAGGCTCTGGAAGGCTAAGAAAGAGCATAAATGCGAGGCAAGATAGGATGATTGTTCGCCAGGCCCGAACCACTCCAACGGTATCATTGTAGACTCCAACGGTTATTATATAATATAGATTTGTATACTCCAACGGTATCATTCAAAGCACTACAGCCACGTCCTGTACCTTCCAGTGGTACCGTTCCACCATCTCATGGCGCTTGTCTGAGGCGGGGTTACGCTCACAGAGGCCTTTAAGACGTTTGCCTTTGATCCCACAACATCGGCGGAGTCGTCTGGAGTGGTGTCGCAGCCGATCATCATGGCTGCCATCAGACTGGCATCGCATAGTGTTCAGCGATGAATCCGCTTCTCTCTTAAAGCAGATGACCACCGTGTTTGTGTCTGGAGAGGACAGGGCCAGCGGTCCCAATCAGTCTTCGTTTTACAAAGATGTGAGAAGATGTTGGCAGCAATGGTTGCTACAATGAAATGCCGACGAAATAAAGGCTCTGGAAGACCAAAGAGCACAAATGCGAGGCAAGATAGGATGATTGTTCGCCAGGCCCTAACCGCCCCAACGGTATTATTATCGAGTATTCAAAGCACTACAGCCACATCTATACCTTCCGTGGTACCGTCCACCATCTCACGGCGCTTGTCTGAGGCGGGGTTACGCTCACAGAGGCCTTTAAGACGTTTGCCTTTGATCCCACAACATCGGCGGAGTCGTCTGGAGTGGTGTCGCAGCCGATCATCATGGCTTCCATCAGACTGGCATTGCATAGTGTTCAGCGATGAATCCGCTTCTCTCTTGAAGCAGATGACCACCGTGTTTGTGTCTGGAGAGACGGAGCCAGCGGTCCCAATCAGTCTTCGTTTTACAAAGGCTTAAAACCCATAACCCCTGATGGTGATGGTATGGGGCGCCATTTCTTATGACAGCTGGTCATCTGCAGTCATCCTCCGTACATCTTTAACAGCTCAACGATATGCTGATAACATCCTGCGGCCGTTTGCATTACCCTTCATGGCACGTCATCCTGGGGCCATTTTCTAACAAGATAATGCCAGGCCGCATACCGCTCGCATATCTCTGGACTGTTTCCGTGCAGTTGATACTCTTCCTTGACCACCAAGGTCACCAGACCTTTCACCAATCGAGCATGTCTGGGACAAGCTAGGCCAGAAATTCGGACACCGCAAAATATCGCAGATCTGGAGCGACAACTGAAGAATGCCTGGCAGACTGTGTCGCAGGGTGACATTAGGAATCTTTACCACTCCTTGCCTCGACGAATTCAAGAACACATTGCCGTCAGGAGCGGTTCGACCAACTACTAATTTGAACACTCAGTGAGTGATTGTGAGCCGAGAACAGGTACTATGACCTTAATTTTTTAATCATTTTATTATCTGTGTATGAGCTATACACATATTCAATTGCATCAAAAAGAACCACTTCCTTCATGGTGCTTCGATTCTTTTGCAAAAGAGTGTATTTTACTTATATCATATAGCTGTGTTTTCTTTATTTAATGAAAAACTGTCCGTTATCTATTAATCTTACTAAGAATTTCATATGAAAGAAATCTATCAGATACAGAAAACAATTGTATTATAATTATTAACCATAATTTGTAATGAACTGAATTTGACCGACTGATTATAGCAAAGTCCACTGAGACTTAGCGGTGGGAATTACTTCGTGAAAAAATTTCTACGGTAAGTTTAAGTTTCGAAAATACTATTTAATCATAGGTTTTTACTTGATCTAAAAAAATTAATTATTCCAAAACCACTAACAGACGGGAAGCGAATTATCGCTATGTCTGAAAGTAACTACCAAGTTACCAAGAATTTAGAACACAAGTACGCGTTCTTGTGCTAACAGTATCAGCCACAATTCGTGGTGATGAAACAGAGATAACAATCAAATTCAAGTCAAAACATAGACTAGTAGTCAAAAACTACGCAACTTCAATATTACTCTAATCAGGCTTAGTAATTCTACCGATGTATCAAATTCAACTGTCAGCAACGATATAACGCAGAGCCGAATGATCACAACTTACCACAGCTGCCAGGAACTAGACGTAGCGTTCAGGGCAGGGCAGAAACTCGTTCTGTCTTAAAATCCCAAAACTTCAATTTAAATACTATATAATTTATTAACATTCTAGGGAGGAAAAGGTATAGTAAGAGCTGACATTATAAATAACTGGTTAATTTAAATAATAACCTTGCAAAGTGAATAATATTTTAAAATACGGCAAACGTGTGTTCTATGAATGCAACACTTGCGTTCTGTTATCACCTAGGGCAGGGATGTCAAACTCATAGATACACTTGGGCCAAACAAACAAGGTTTAACTTTAGGCGGGCCGCAAAAAAAAATCGATATTCATAGAAACGTAGATTTATTTCGAATAATACAATAATAAACATATATATATATATTTATATAGAAAAGAACAAGAACAATTTAATGTTTACGTCCTGATACTTGACATCTCTTCTCTGCTATTATCTTTCTTATTTCGGGAGAAATTTTGTTTGCAGTGATAACTTTCAACGCTGACCCAAGGTGAGCATCATTAATACGGTTTCTAATAGGAGACTTATTACCTTTCATGACTGAAAATAACAACATGAAGCAAATCTAATTACAATTCTAAATAAAAAAAAACTAAATAAATAAATAGTCTATGTTTTGACTTGAATTTGATTGTTATCTCTGTTTCATCACCACGAATTGTGGCTGATACTGTTAGCACAAGAACGCGTACTTGTGTTCTAAATTCTTGGTAACTTGGTAGTTACTTTCAGACATAGCGATAAATCCGTAACAATATGAATTAAGTAATAATTAATAATAAAGCAAAAGTGCATGCACATGCATGCACCAATATATCGTACAAAACTATGATTGGAAAACTGAGACCATGAGTTCGGCCACATTCGGCTATCGGGGGATGCGTACATGTTCTGAGTGCACGTGTCCCCCAAAAGCCGAAGGTAGCTGAACGCAAGCTACTCACACGCATTTGTAATTTAAGTAGTGTGTGTGTCAGCTCGCTGTGAGTAATCTAACAACACTGAATAAATTATCGTTAATTACTCAGCAGTAAACATTTCATTTTTTTCTTCGTCGATATGTTATTTTATATTATTATATATTATTATTTGCTGATATATTGGCCGGGCCGCAAAAATATCTGTTGTGGGCCGCGAGTTTGACATCCTTGACCTAGATCGTTACATTCTCACCATCAGCAATTAGCAAATCACATGCCGAGCGGTAAAGTCACTGAGCACTGGTAGTTTGACTTGGGTTCGACTCCAGGCGAATGAGCTGACTGCATAGTTATTTTCGACGTTTCCCCCATGTGTAACGTGGATAAGAGGCAATATCTCCACGAAGACTCCACGAAGGCATCCTCTCTTCTAAATAGATAGCCTTGCATGCTTCGCCATAATCAAATACACCAAACCAAATCAAACACCTGCAATTACACAGTAGACCTGATTTAAATACAAACCTGGAGATATTATATAATGCATTACATACATTTTATAATGAGATATGTATTATATAATGTTATATACATTTCTATAGTGCATTACTCTATTTTTCTGCACTTATTGCAGTTATTTTACTATGAGCCTGCGAAATCACAGAGGGTGTTTCGAATCCTGTTTATTCGTAGATTTATTAATTTTTTTTAAAGAGAAATCTTTTCAGCAATATTCAAAAATAATGTACAAATCTCGTTTCCGATTTGTTGACGCCAATTTACGAAAAGAAATTTAATATTCGCGTTTACTTTTATATATTTCTGCTCCGCCCGAGGAGAAAATATGATATTTATTTTCAATTTAAATTTTACTTTACCGAGTCTTTCACTCGAAAATGATATATAGATTTTTATTATAAAAATACCTTCAGCAAATGTGGAAGCAATGGAATTTAACGTTTGTTATTTTATAAGAAAGAATGCTTCGCAAACAAATGTATAATTTAAAATCGGATATTTTATATCGGTTTAAAATTGGTTTCCAATATTAAATATTTAATAAGATGAATTCTTAACATATGATAGAAGTAAATAGAACATTTGATTCTCAGTTTGAAAATTTTTATTACAAAGTAGAAATTTTAACACAGTTTTTACTTTCAGATTTATATCGTGTCGTCTGAAAATGAAATAACACATTTAATATTAAATATTCTCTCCTTTTCATTGTAATCTTAATCTCTTTTCTCTGGAAGGGAATGGTTTATATAAGTTAAATATCCTAAAACGCATTTCGATTCAGAAAATTTTCTAATACGTCATAGTGGTTTCATCGTCATCATAATGACGATATGAAAAGAAAACGTGACAGTTAATCAAATTAGATGATTAATTAATTCACTTAAACTCATTCAGCGATTTCTCATTCAATGAATTCAGGTGTTACTACGCAGCGAGGTAAAAATACATACAAACATAAAACATCTTCATTAAAAATTTTGAAATTCAGAAAAACATAAAACACTAAATATAGTTTTGAGAATTAAAATTAGAGTTTCTGAGCAAAAATAATTAATTCCGCCAGCGTGCAGGAAGACAGATTTTTTCGGCGCACAAAACTGAAAGTCCTCTTGGTCCCACTCAGTAAAAAGTCACTGAAGTTGGCGCAGAAACTGAATTAACAATTCTACTTAAATTTTTAAATGTAAACAAATGGCGGCTTCGTTCGGCTTAGCAGCACTTAAACAACTTTTAAATTGTTGATAATTCTACAACTATTGCATGTAGATTAGCTAGCATAAAAACCTTAACCGGAACATAAGAACAAAATAATTCAACCACTTTTAAAGCAAAAAACACACAATTTACCAACATATAAGAATAAAAAAAACTGACCGCGCCGGATACCGAGCCAGATAACAGAGTTTTTATTTATATACATATATTTATATGTTTGGTGTGGCCGATTGCAACCAAAATGAGAGGTGCATAATTAAATGTTATAGCAGTCCCATATGCAAAATTTCAACATTCTGAGGCTACTCGTTTTTAGAGATGCGAGATATATACATACGTATGTACGGGCTACGTATGTAACTACGTACGGACGTCACGAAAAGTGAAGCTCTACAATGTTAGGAGCTTCTTGAAGCTTGCTATCTAATATTGACTATCATACTTAATTTCAATGTGAATGGAATTTATTCCTTTTGCTGTTATTATTATTTTATTTCTTGAACCAGTATTCGCGTTAATTTTCTTTCGTATTCGTTGCTATATTGTAATACATCACATTTAAAACATCAAGTGCGATTTTTTTTTCAATTTATTTTTTTTTTAGTCTGGGAAATCTGAATGTTTTACTGAGCCTTCACATTTGCTTTCCTTGTTTCGTTTCGTATGTGTACCTCAATTTTAACGGTTATGACATGAAAAACGGGAATGGCCTTCTCTGCTTCTTTTTGTTTATAAGAACTGTATATTAGTGAGAAGCAGCATCAACTTGAAAGCGACGGATATGTTTCCTCTGAAAGGATGATTTTGGATTACTATTTGTACAGAACACTGTTTATACAAGTCACTCGATCACGAGGAGGAAGAAAATGTTGTTTATTATTCGAACGGCAATAATTAAGATATTTCTTATGATGCTATATTCTATCGATCCCAAGGAAATTTTATTACTTGAATGCCTATGTGATAAATACCAATAAAAATGTGCTAAATTCCTCAAAAATTGTAATCTTTGAGGGACTATGACAAAGGTCATAAGCGTTTAACGAAGAACAAATTTTAAAATTATTTCTTATGTTAACAGTTTATTCATTTTTTTTTTCTTTAGTTTTTCATATTACTTAAAATTTAAAACGTGCTGTATTTAATTCTTAGAATAGAATAAAAATATTGGTACAGATTTTTTACATATTGAAATAATTTTAGTAAGTGAAATTGTAGTATTTTTTGTATAATGTAACATGAAATGTTTGAAAAAGACGATGCTAACCCGGAAAAATGAGATTTCAGAGGCAAGTCTATTTAACGTTGTAAATGGTTATCTCGCTAAATTGGCGAAATATCGCCAAGCTGGCGACGGTTTTAGGGACAAAATTTTGCTGCCAAATGTGGTGGAAAATCGGCAAAAATCGCCAACTCGGCGATCATTTCGCAGCATTTCGGTCCGATCCCTGGATAACTGTAATGGGTACTGTAATATAATAACTGTAATTGATCCTATATGTAACTATGACCGTATCCGGTCCTCGTATATCTTACAGTAATTTCGAGAAGTGAAAGGTACTAGAAAAGACCGGAGAGAGCATCAGTTGATCAGTAGCTGTTTAATTCAGCTCGAGTTCGGTGTATTCAGATATCTCCGTGCTAGCTTCACTCTTTAGATGTGCTTTGCATTATTACGTTGTGTTTAACATTCTTAGTAGTTAAAAGTAGGACAGTGATTGTGTTCTCTGATGTTAAGATAAGATGTAAGAGAATTTTTAATTTAGAAATTTTATGAAGCTATCATCGGTTCTGTGTGCATTTCATCCATTACGAGCCCGTACGGACCCAACAATATTATAAAATAATATCATTGTTATCCATTTTCACATCTTAAGGCCTCATTTCTGAAATGTCACAAAATGCTGACATAAAACAAACAAAATTTCCGTATAAGTCACTTTACTCCTGATCCCATAAACACACACATAAAACGTATTTAATGATTATAGCGGAAAAAAAAAATTAATGACGAACAAAAAAGTTTTTCGCTCTGCGAGCGCAATAAAACAGAGGAAAAATCCTAGTTAGGAGATTACTCCTTTGGAAATGTCCATCTCATTAAAAAAATTTCAACTCCTCGAAATGGAACTAGAAATTTTTTTAATCGGGGGGGAAAAAAATATTGACCTCGGAAGACACATAAAAACCTGTTCAGCTATTAGAGAAAATGTTCTATTGTTACTACGTAAATTACACACAGATAGCAATTTTTTAAAATAATAATGATTGTAATAAAAAGGGCAAAAAAGTGTTCGAAGATGAAGAAGCCCTGCCAATATACAAAGGCATCTGATAAGTTTTTTCTCTTTAAATGTTAATGATTGAATTGTTTCAGATGCTGCGGGCATTAGAAGCATTTTTTTTATCTTCAGCTTCCTTACTTTTTATGGCTGTTTTAATTAAAGCTGTGCTCCAAAAATTCATTTCCTGCAAACGCTTTTTATGCATTAGGCTTAGCATGCATTAAATAAAGGCAAGTTTTCAAAGCTTATGCAAATTTGAGAACTCGGAAACGTTTGGTAACTTTCCAATATTTTTTCCCGTAAGAACACACAGTAGTGAATTTTCAAATACTTCATTAAATGCTCAGTTTTTCTGGGAATAATTGAGTTTACTTTTCTTTTTATTTGCTGCAACAAAATAAATTCACAATATGCTTTCCTTTTTGGCGGTCAAATGGTGGTTTTGGGTTTTAATTTCCTTTCATTCTAATAATTAAACCTACCAATTTATCTGCTGTTTTGTGAATGGGAAATAAACTCAAGTCTTTATAAATGCCAGACTTTCTAATTCTATCTAAAGTTCTGAGTCTATTCAATTAAGCTTTTCTAATTAAAAAAAATTTCCATCTAAAGGATGCAAGTTAATGCGTAAAGAAAGTAAGAAAATAATATTTCGTGAACTTTAATAAATTCATTTCTTCACATAAGCCACTTTTTTCACATCTAATCCTCAATATAATTTTAAATAGTGTAGAAATAAAACTTAAAGAAAATCAGAATATTAAGGTTTAAATAGAGCTAGAGCTTCAAAACTCTTCGTAGGTGTAAAGCAAGGGTTGATACGGAAGGAAATTCAAAGGCAGGTTGTTTATTTGAATAATTACATTGCCAGCTATGGAGAATATTATCAGGATTTTTTGTATACATGTAATTTTAGAGAAATTATGTTTAAAATTGTAGCAATTTTTGTATAATATAACATGAAATACTTGAAAAAGGCGATGCTCTGCCAGAAAAATAAACTACACGGCGTAAGTCAATTTAATATCGAGTAAATGGTTATCTCACTAACTGGCAAGACGTTGCCAAGCTGGCGATAGTTTTGGCAGCTAATTTTTGTCGCGTCGCCAAATCTGGCGAGAAATCTACAAAAGTCGTAAAGCTTGGAGAAGATTTGGGTCTTGTATAACTGTAATTGGTGTTCTGATTAAATAAATCTATTTAATCACTATATGCAGCTGTACTCGAGCCTCATATATATGATGTTACGTTCAGTAACATCGAGAAATGGAAGGTACTAGAGACTTCCCGTCGGCCGGTGGGGGAGAATTATATAAGATCGGAGACAGCCATGTTGTTAGTTCAGAGTCGACTTCGGAGTACTGAGACTAACCCAGTGTGAGCTTCGCTCTTTAGATGCGCTTTGCATTACGTTGTGTTTATTATTCTTAATACTTTGAAATGTAACTACTG